CACCGAAGCCCCATCAAAATTTCGAGTGGAATGTGTTATACAATAGAGCAGTTGCCCTGTGGCAGGAATCGAACCTGCGGCCATATATGCGATTCCGGTGCAGCGCTCTAACCAACTGAGCTACAAACAGACTTTGTAGAATTTATACATGAACTTGTGGTTGTCAAGCTCTAACCACAAGTTCATGTATAGACATAGACGGATTTTCATATTTTTTACTGGGGTGGTGCCAGAAATTTTAGGGGGGTGAGCCGTGAGCAGGTGACTGAAGCAACACAAAGTGTCACCAAACCCCAGTAAGGTCTATATTCCACGGGTGGAGCACTAGAGCCGCGAGGGGGAGTCGAGAGAGCAGAAAACAAAGTATCCCTGGAAATATTTGAAAAAAATATGATTTCTAGCTTCGAAAAAAAGTTTTTTGAAGTTGTCATATCAATGGATTTGGCATGTCCGATTGTCTGTTGAGACTTGAGAGAGTTCAATGAACCTGTAAAAGTGTAAATCCAATAGGACAATACATAATATGCTTTTACTTTTATAAAGTCATTGACTTGAATCGAGTACAATTTATGATGCAACTCCGATGTAAATAATATTTGGGGCGTAAAGATTAAATCTAGGAAGTCTATTTCCTAAAAGAATTAAAAACTAAAAATAATGTTCGTAAAAATTCCAAACTAATATTGGGGGGTTGCACCCCCTGCACCCCACACACACAAAATCCATCTATGTGTATAAATACTAACTTAAGGTGATGCCAATGTAGGGTGCATTGGTAAATATCAAGATTTTGGGCATGTCGCTCGATATGGCCCAATATCACTAGTCTTATCGAGTGAGATACTTAAAATCCTGATATTTTGAATATAACATAATGATATCTATATGTTTCTTCACCCATAGTATGTGATTCAAGCTGTGATTTAAATCGTGATTCAAATCGTGGCTGCGAAGATGGTAGTCAAGACAAATGTTGTGACAAAGAATGTCTAGGAGGATGTACTCGAGCAGACTCACCACATCATTGTAATGCTTGTCAACATTTTCGTATTGGAAATGGTTCTTGTGTGGCTACCTGTCCACCTGGATTGAAAGAGGTATTAGAAATCTTAAAAGAGAGGTTCAGATTTGACTTCCACTGTGACTACGTTTTACTGGCTTAGTATGAATCTAAAAACGGCAGCGGTAGTGGAAGTCAAATTTGAACCTCTCTAATAAGCAAGCGACGTTCTTGACAACACGCCAACCGGAAGTCAATCGAGCCGTTATAGATTGCGACAGCCGTTCATGTTTTAAATCTGGTCAATGTAGTTTCGCAATTCGCATTCGTGATTTCAAACAAGAACGGCTGTCGCCAGCAGTCGCCATGCATTTGTGGGTCCATTTACACGATGTGACCATGCAGTGAACTCCATGTCTTTTATCTGAAACGTGAAGCCAATGCCATTAGGGAGTCTAAGCTTCGCGTTTCCGGGAACGGCAAACGGATTAGAGACTTGTAATGCCACTTCACGCTAACGCAAGCGTGCTGACGCGCGCTGAAACTGACGTTCTACTGTGATGTACTGTATGGCGTGATGTACTGTATGGCGTGGAGGGCTGGGTATGTAAGTGATGTACTGTATGGCGTGGAAATGGCGTGGAGGGCTGACGCCATTGCTCACGCGTTGCTCACGCGAGGCTTCACTTTTTAACTACCAAATGACTGAGTGTTATCGTTCCAGGTAAAGTAAAATAAATGGAGTTCACTGGAAACGACTAGTCGTATATACGTTTGTCATTCTGGCGTATGAAAACTACTGCTTACGTGACATCCGTTCCTGCATTTATTCGAGAACATTCGCCAGGATAAGAATTACATTTTGCATATATCGTGTAAATGTGCCTTATAACGGTTCGATTGACTTTCGCGGTTGGTATACGTGTTGTCGAAAACGTCGCTTGCTTACGGTCTCTATTAATTAGCCTTTCTCATGCCATTCCACGAGGCCTAGTCCCCTAATGTTGTCAGTCAATTTGCATATCTGAGTAAAATATTTGCGTGACCCTGCTTGTGGTAACATGCATACCGTATTTACTCGATTGAGCGCCGCCCCCGATTGAGCGCCGCCCTCGAATGAGCGCCGCATTTGAGATCAAATTTTTTTAAAGAGCGCCGCCCCCGAACGAGCGCCGCACTAAACAGTGTAATCATTTTCCGCCGTCAAAATGAGGACATTTAGTGACAAAGACATTCAAAACTTGTTTATTTTATTGTTAAAAGTTCTTGATATAATTCACAAATGAAAGATTTTTTTAAAGAGCGCCGCCCCCGATTGAGCGCCGCCCTCGAATGAGCGCCGCATCTGAAGCTCTGAAAATTTAAAGAGCGCCGCGGCGCTCAAACGAGTAAATACGGTATCCACAATAATCCAAGATGCTGGTCAACTCACTGATTTATGATAATTTCTGTTAATATATTTCCAGAACTAAACGACATTTGAACAAGCTTTAAAAAAGGTTTCCCCCTAATGTTAAACGTTATCGGTGAGTGTTGGGAGAATACTCGAGAAGTGTGTAAAACACTCGACTATAGCCTAATGTTTTCCACCCTTTACTCGTATTCTCCCAACATTAAACATTTCCTCGTGCATTCTCACACCATAAAGGCACGCCACTCTTTTTCTTTTTCTTAAATAAAGTACCTTCTGTATTCTTGCTTTTTGTGTTGTTCTAATGAACCTCATAAGCTTTCGGGTAGCCAATTAGTGTACACAAGCGTTGCTATTGGATAATTTTTGGATTGCGTCAGGACATTTTGTTTCGATATATTGTAGGTGGAAAAGTTTATCTGCAAAGAAGAATGTCCTGATGATGTTGGCTTAGAAGTGAATGGGAAATGTTATAAGAAATGTCCAGTTGGATATAGAGAGAACGGAAAAAAATGTGATAAATGTGATAATTGTGCAAGAGGTACAGTAAATAACATCAATATTTAGCATCATGTACTAACACTACCAACAACAACACAAACAGCAGCTATGACATCGGTAGTGATGAGCATCAACGATCACAACAACAACGACGACAACAACGAGAACAGCAGCAGCAACAACAGCAGCGACAGAAGCAACAACAGCAGCGACAGAAGCAACAGCAGCAACAGAAGCGGCAACAGCAACACTTAATTATTCACTTATTACGCGAATGGATTTAACATATTCATTTAATCACATCCATTTATTGGCAGCTCATCTTGTTCCCATCATATCTGGAATTTTGTATTTCTGTGTTATGACGTCACTCTTGTGTTTAAGGTTACAGAACACCTTTGAGTGTTAATTTTGCCTAAAATTTTTTTATTGGTTTCCATGAAAGCATTAGACTAGTTCTACTATCTGACCAAGTTTGGACGAAAAATGTTGAAAACTCGCAGAGTTATTTAATAAAATACATTTCGCTTGCAATAAGAAAAACATTGAAAATGTAGTATTCAAATTCAATTTTCTCCCGACGAATTTTACGGCAATTACTGATTTTTAAACGAGTTGTGCTCCTGCGGATTTCAACGAATTTTTCTCAAATTTTCACAGGACATAGCTAAAGACGTCAGTTTCAAAATGGTGTTCGGCTTTGTTCTAATTTTGGATATTTTAATAATAAGGAGCAATTCACACAAACGATTCAGAAATATATTGCAGTCGTCAAAGAAATCGCCATATCATCGGAATGACGAAATAAACAAAAATTTCCGAACACAATTTTTTAGAACAACTATTTTACTGTATAAAAATGATATTTTCATAAATATATCTTAAAACCAGCAGGAACATAACTCAAAAGCGTAAAGGTACCGCGACTTAAGATTTTCCTGAATAATTCTTACATTATTTTATTGTTTGTCAATTTTACAAATTTATCATATTTTGCATGCACTGGCTAACATTTGGTGAAAATGTGATGAAAATCGAACTGATTTTGAGCGCGCAGTTGCGATTTTCCACAAAACGACGAAAAGGGTGCCTGTAACCTTAAGATGGCAGCAAAATGAAGAAAATAGAATATCTCAAAAGTGATTCAACAAAATTAAACGAAATTTGATAGTTAGTAAGTGCACCTAAGCAAACATTTTAGAACATGTATGTGGTTGTCATAGCAATACACTGGTCACCAGTAACCCGATCTCTTTGACCTATTTGTCTTATTTTTGCTTCGAACAAAACGGAAAGTCGGAAAGGAATTTTTGTGATTTTCATTTATTATTGTCATTTTTATAGGTGCCGAGGTGAATATAACTATTAAAGTAAATAAAACTATTAAAGTAAATAAAACTGTTAAAGTAAATAAAACGTTCGTTCCAAAGTGTCTACAGCAGAAATCACTAAAATAAAAAAGAGAGACCTGGTAACTAGTGTGTTGCTATGACATACATAACCTTACCCACGTGTACTTATCAACTGGAGCAAATTTAATTTAATTTTGTTGAATCACTTCTGAGATGTTAGACTTTCTTCTTTTATCTTAATAAGCAGAACCAGTGACGACATAACACAAAATACTAAATGCTCGATAACTTGGCAACGAGATGAGCTGTGAATAAGTTGTTAAATAAGTTGTCATGTGCACTTTAACATTAACATCATTTAACATTTAACTTTAACATTATTATTAACAACATTGACAACAACAACAACAACAACAACAACAACAACAACAACAACAACAACAACAACAACAACAACAACAACAACAACAACAACAACAACAACAACAACAACAACAACAACAACAACAACAACAACAACAACAACAACAACAACAACAACAACAACAACAACAGCAGCAGCAACAACAGCAGCAACAACAGCAGCAACAACAGCAGCAACAACAGCAGCAACAACAGCAGCAACAGCAACAACAACAGCAACAACAACAGCAACAACAACAGCAAAAACAGCAAAAACAACAACAGCAGCATTGACGACATCGTGGACAAAAACAGCAACATAGCCATCAGCAACAACTACAACAATAACAGTAAGAAGAAGAAGAACAGCAACATTTACAACAATGAAACTAAACAGAGACAGCAACAGCCACAATAGTAGTTTGAAACAACGGTACAACGTCTCTAGCAGAAGTTAAACAACAGGAATAGCAACAACAACTCACTAAAAGTATGGCAAGAAACAAAGCAACAGGGACAACGACAAGAATAACAGCAACTGCCACAGCAATGACAAGATTTACAGTGCAACAAGTATCGCGAATAATCTTTAATTAATAACGACACTCCAAAACAACAGTAACAGCATTGGTTGTATTTTTTTTGTGCTTGTATTTTTGTAAACATTCTTTTTTTATTTAAAAAAATTTTGTAAATAACGTGAGCTTCCTTGGTAAGCCTTGGCTTTTGAGGTAAATATGTCAATAAAGTTTATATAAAAAACCCCGGCAACAGCAACGGAAACATTGGACCAATCCCCAATTAACCAAAATTTTGAAATCAACAAGTCTATACAAAAATTTCACCACAGCTTGAAAGAGCATCACAAAGTTAGTAATATTCCAAAGTGTCGTTTTAAAATGTTGTAAAATGCGGATAATATAGCCTTGCGAAGTTTGCAATTTTCAGTCATTTTAGAGTACAAACGGGCTATGGTTACCACTTCCGTGCGTAATACAAAATGACTGAAAATTACAAATATCGCAAGGCTATATTATCCGCATTTTACAACATTTCGCAACGAAAGTTTGGAGTATTACTAATTTTGTGATGCTCTTTCAAGCTGTGATGAAATTTTTGTTTAGGCTAGTTGAGATCAAAATTTTGGAAAAGTGGTAACCGTTTCCCGCTCGTAATACAAAATGACTGAAAATTGCAAATTTCGCAAGGCTATATTATCCGCATTTTACAACATTTCGCAACGAAACTTTGGAATATTACTAATTTTGTGATGCTCTTTCATGCTGTGATGAAATTTTGTCTAGACTTGTTGAGTTCAAAATTTTGGTTAATTGGGGATTGATCCATTCTTGTTCCTTTTTTGTAGTGTGCATTGCACCTAAATCTGGTATTTTTGAACCACCTATACAGAAGATCAAAACATTATCGGATTCTGCGAAACTTAAGGGATGCGAAATTCTCAATGGAAATCTAGAAATTGAAATGAGGAACGTTCCAGGTAAACATATACGGTCAAACTGCATGACGTTACTCGTGTACTGTAAGTCTCCAAGCTTTTTGTCATTTTATTTTGTGTAAAGAATAATGACATGCAGCATAAGTTTTTCGAGAGGTTACGCTACTCAACGCGCGCTCGCTCACAGTACGTCTGCAGCAACTATGTGCAGTAGAAGGGACCGAACCAAGAGTAGTTCTAGGACTCAAGCAGTGGTGTCAAGTAACGAAGTAAATATACAGTACTTCGTTACTGTACTTGAGTACTATTTTTGAGTAGTCAGCATGTAACTAAGTAAACTTTTCCTGGAGTACTTTTACTTGGAACGAAGTCGTTTTAAGAAGTAACGTTTTACTTCGTTATTTTCATTTCGTGGCGAAGTATTTCGCTACTTTATAACTTTTGTTTAACGTTACGTGATTTATTCCTGATTTATTTTAATTTTGGGATGTGTAATAGGACCTCTACATGCGTTTGGGATCTCCCGTTTGTGGCTTAGTTATATAAGCATTATTTATTTAATGGATTTAATTTTAATTCTTATATCTTCAACGGGGTCTGGAAAGTAGACCATGCCGTAAAATATTGTATATTAGGTTTCTTTTGTATGTCAATTCATTGGAGAAGTCCACCCCCCACACACGCTAGAGACAATAGTACTTTTACTTTTTACTTCAAGTATTTTTTAAGGATACTTTATACTTTTTACTTAAGTACGTTTTGCCTCCAGTACTTTTTAGTTTTTAGTGTGAAGTTTCACTTCACACTATTGTGATGGCTGGCGAATTCACACGAATCAGTCAAACAGTCAGTCATAGAGTAAACTTTCCGGGGGGTGTATACGATTTATGTTCGTAGTGATTTATTGTACTTAGTCAGTACTTTGAAGGTTATTTAGGCAATTTCAGTTAACTTATTTACATATTCTGTTATCCTTTTGCCAAGTTCACAAAAATTTCGAGCAATCGCTTTCGTTATTGCATTTTTTTGTAAATTTTAGAACATTCGCTTCTCATGTTGTGTAAAGGATCTTTACCCCGGAACACCCGATTTTTCTTTAGTAGCGCAAATGCGCATGCGCTATCAAGCCGTAGATCACGATGGCGTGACGATATGCTAGGAAGGAGTGACAGTGTTGTTTTCAGATGTATAAAATTTCAGACGTGAATATTGAGTAAATTTTGAAAATCTACGCAATATATAATTGATCTTATGCATTACGGGCGTTCAATTAAGTGCCGATAATATTTAGACGGTATATTCATTATACAGAGCTAGGAAGGAGCTAGACCGCCTAGACAGTGCAGTCAAGTGTGTAAACATTTCAGACGTAAATATTGAGTCGAATATCTTGATTCTAGGCATTCATTTAAGTGCCGATATTATTTTCACGGTATTCCCATTATACAGAGGTACAGTACGTAGGCAGAAGCGAGACAGTGTTGTTTTCAAGTATATAAAGATTTCAGACGTGAATATCGAGTAAATCTTTGAAAATTTACACAATATATAAATTGATCTTATGCATTACGGGCGTTCAATTTAATAAGTGCCGATATTATTTATACGGTATATTCATTATACAGAGCTAGGAAGGAGCTAGACCGCCTAGACAGTGCAGTTAAGTGTATAAACATTTCAGACGTAAATATTGAGTCGAAAATCTTCCTTCTAGGCATTCAATTGAGTGCCGATATTATTTTTCACGACATACTCATTATACAGAGGTACAGTACGTGCAGGCAGAAGCGAGACAGTGTTGTTTTCAAGTATATAAACATTTCAGACATGAATATTGAGAAAATCTTTGAGATTCTACGCAATAATAGTGATACAATATATAAATTGATGTTATGCATTACCGTCGATATTATTTAGACCGTGTATTCATTATACATTCTCATTGACTGTATAAGGTGCTACATCACAGAATAGATGGCTATACTCAGTACAAAGAGCGAAAAATTGCATCAGATTTGTATCAGATCAATAAAGCATAAACAACTATTAAACAGAAGCGGGTAAACGTTTGTACGGTGTTTACGAAGAAAAAAACTTATGAGACTAAAGGAATCAGTTGAGTCAGAGCTCCTTGTATAAATAAGAAAGACGAGGAGATAGCCAACGTGTTTAGGTGTTATCGCTAACGTTTTATCGCTAATCGCTTAATTGGCTCGCCAACAAGCTTTATGCAATAGAAGACA